CTGGGAGAACCCACAGCACTCCGTAGAGCGGGCGTGACGTTTTAACCAATCCCACAGCACGTTTCATACTTGCCCCCTCGCCCTGCCCAATGCAAGGCACGCTTGGAGCGATGCTTTATCCAATCCCGCAGCGCGTTGCATGCCCGCCCCCCCTCCCTGCCCAATCCGAGGCCGGTTTAAGGCCCCCTCCCCGCCTTTCGTCGTGTTTCCATGGTAATTGTAGCGCCGCCACCTCCGGGCCTGAGCTGAGGGGCCCGGGGAAGCCGCCGCCGCCATGGAGCTGGGCCTGGCCCTGGCTCTGGCCCGCGTGGATTACGTGCAGGTGACCCACGAAACCAGCCCCCGCCCCGCGCTGCCCGGCGGGGCAGAGCCCTTCGCTGCTGAGTCCGGCGCGGGTTGGAGGGGCTTTGACTGGGCGATGCCAGCGCTCTTGCTGAGGCCCAGGCTGGAGGGTCCTGGCTACAGGGTCGGGCTCCTCTGCTGAGGTCCGACTGACAGGCTGCCAGATTTGTGGCCAGGGAGGAGTTTGAATGCCATGGTCGGATCGGTTCGGGCTGTGGGGGGTTTTGCCTCCCTCCGTAGCTGGGGCCCGGGCGGGATCTCCTGAGCCTACGTTGACAGTGTTTCGTAGGAGTAGGCGTTTGGCTGCTGTGGCACCTCGGCTCTGGCAGGGTGTTGGGGCTGCGTGGTGTTGGCAGGGTTTCTTGTAGGCTTGTGCAGAGTTTAGATCGTGGTTTATTAGGGGATGGGTTGGAGAGGGATGGTCCTTCCTTAGGCAGGGGAAGGAGGCCTCTTCCAGCCCGACTTCTCCCGGATGCCATGATTTGATTTTTCTTATGCTGCCACTTGCTTTATAGGATCAGCAGTCAACTTGGCAGCAGTGATAGTGTCATTAACCACCCCTTGCCTTCTCACAGCTTCTCCTTCCCCATCCAGAATAGCAGAAGTTGGAGTTACAGTCCCTGGAGGGACCTTGTTCAGTTTGTACTTGCTGGATCTATTGTTTTAGGCCGTCTGCATCGTCATAGGATTATTGCAAAGTAGGATCTGGAAGGGGGCTGTGGCTTGGGAGTGAGGAGCAACAGCATGGACAAGGGCAGGGCTCTGGCATATCAGCCCTTTGTGCTGCTGCTGGGCATGGGGGTGAGCCCCATGAGGTGCAGCAACACTTGAGCTTGCAGCTGGGCGGGAGGGGGGGTGGGTAGTGCAGTGGGACTCTTCCTCTTTGCTTGGCACTGGGGAGGCTGTGCCTGGAGTCCAGTGTCCAGTTTTGGGCCCCTGCTACAGAAAGGATGTGGTCAAGCTGGGCAATGAAAATGGTTCTGAGCCTGGGACACATGACTTGTGAAGAGAGACTGAGGGAACTGGCATTATTTAGTCTGGAGAAGAGAAGACTGAGAGGGGCCTTAACAGCAGCTTTCAACTGCCTGAAGTGGGGTTTGAAAGAGGATGGAGCTAGACTGTTCTCAATGGTGGCAGATCGCAGAACAAGGAGCAATGGTCTCGAGTTGCAGCAAGGGACTTTTAGGTTAGATATTAGGAAGAACTTTCTCACTAGGAGGGTAGTAAAACACTAGAACAGGGCTGGGATGGCTGTGAGTCAGGAGTGAGGGGCACTGGCAGGGCCAGGAAGCTATGGGCTGGGAGTGAGGGGCAACAGTTTGGTCAGGGCACTGGCATATCAGGGTTGCTCAGCACCACAAAGTTGCAGGAGTTACAGATACAACTGAACCTGTGTCCTGGTGAGCAAAGGGGGCAGGCGGAGCTCTGATTTTCAATGATACAAAAACCAAAATCGAACACCAAAATAAATGGGTACTTGTAATTTATTTTATTATAATGATTGGGGCACTGTTAGGCTTCATCACTTTTATTTATAGACATAGGTATAAGTGGCGTTTCATTTTATCTCAGAAAAAATGTGGATTTTCATTTTTTAATCAGAGAATTTGTTTTTGGTTTTTAAATTGGAGAATTTGTGATTTTTAAACAGAGAAAACCAGGATCGCAGCTCATTAATAACCATCACTTAATGATTTGATTCTTTCAAGTATTAAATCTGTTTATGCTTGTTTATTTGTCAACTTTAAAAAGTTGTCAATGGGACAGGAATTCACATGTCTAAGACTGCTTGAAGATGTTTAAAAAATTAAAAAGTGGCGCTTTACTTTAAACTTGGCATGCTCCTGCACTGAGCCCAGCATGTGCCCAGAAGAGAGAGTGCATTAGTTGGACCTGGCTCACCCAACCTCTGTATAGGTTGTGTACACTTTAGTGGGGCTTTTGGGCATTTTTATCTAGTAGCTGATTGAATCAGTTTTAGCTAAAAGTGCCAAAAACACCCAATCTATAACAACACTGCAGAGCCAGGTTAAAGTAACGTGCTGCTGCTTCTGGTAAAGTGTGCTTTTGTTTTGTTTTTTTAAGGTCTGCAAGCAGACTAAAACAGTTGCCAAAATTGGTAATTAGATTTGTTCAGCAAATGCAAAGCAATGCAACTTTCAAGTAGTTGACCAGTCTACTATGACAAGTCTTTCTGTATCAGAATTATGGCACATCTTTTCTGTTGTGCAAGCAGTCTTGAATTTGTGGATAAATGTGTGCGCCACATATCTGGAAATAGTCTCCAGAGCTGTTAAAAAGGCTGGTACTTTTACAAACACCAATACATGAAAAATGTAGAATAAAAAGGATGGAGAAAGTACAGAGGTTAAAGGTATACAGTGGTTAAAGGTGACATTTAAATATATCTGTGAGTTCTATGTCGTAGAGCATTAGGGTTCAGCGTTCAGGTAGTCCCAGCTCACCTGTTGTATAACTCTGGTTAAATAGAATATTCTCCACAATGTATATAACAAGAAAATGTTATCCCTAAGACTTTTTTTTGAAGTGTAGAAATTGAAATGTTTTCCATAATGTGGTGATTTTTTTCAAATAGGTGGGAGTGACATCTCAGAAGACCATGAGGCTCCTCCCAGCATCAGGACGTAGGGCAACACAGAAGGTAGTGATTTTCTAGAAGTGAAGAGTTTGTTGTTTCTAAATTGTTCGTTTTGTTTTTTCTTACAGATAAATGTTATCA